GTATGCTCTTGTAGTAACATGGTAACATGTGCTTGTTTAGCAGCGTGTTCATCATGTTGTTGCCATCGTTATCGTAGAGCCTTGGCCTTCTCCTGGCTTCTCAGAGTTCTAGAGCCATTCAATCAAGAGGGTGGCAGATGCTAGTCAGCCCATGCGCTTTGCCGTGATGTCTTTGACGGGCGCAGGGTCTGAGCATGGCATTATGAATCCAACGCTTTATGCGTCGGAGGGGATGTGCAAGCTGATTCTTCACGAGTCGCGCGTTCCTGAAGAAGCCGGGGCATGTGTCAAGGGATCTGCTATGATCTGACCCTGAAGGCCGCCCAAGAGGAGACTCTGCAAGAGGAGGGTGTACCCACCGCGGGCTACCCAGGCCGAGCTGAAGGGGGCTGCTAGATAGAAACTGCGGGCCTGAAGCCAACCCCTGGAAGGTGTCAGTTTTCAGGCTTTCTTTCGGGGTGTGCAGAGATCATCTGCGATAATCTTCACGGCGTGGGTTTCGTCAAATTCCATCAGCAGAGGGCTCGCCGATGGTCAGTCGGAACCAAGCCAAAGCGATCCCTGTGCCGCAGTCGCGTCACTGCCGTCTGCACCAGGGAGGGCTTCCGAGGTCCTGGCCTTAGGAGAGTGCTTCCTTCTAGCCTGTAGCATCTTCTGGTTGCATCCTCAGCAGTCACGGGGCGGTTGCCTTTAAATGAGCCACTCGAGCAGCATGAAGGTCCGTAAGGACTCTGGACCGCACTGCTCGCATCGATTTCAGCGACAAGCTTTCTTTGGGGACAATCGAACGCCCAGCAACAAATTGGTTGCTTCGAACATCCCAGCTCTCAACGAATGTCTTTGGGACAAACGTTGGAAAGGTGGACACGGGATGCTGTTGTGGGTTTTGCTGGGTGCAGGCCCTCTTGGCTCGGCGCTGCAAGGATACTCTGCCGAAATTCTGCGAGGTATTCTGATGGCCACAGGAGATGTTCTGCAGTATGATGTGTGTGGACACCGTAGGGATACCCCGGAGGGTGATCTCATGGGCACTCGGCGGGATACTTCGAGGTGCGAACTGTGGGCTGACCAAGATACTCTGTGTGGTGTCCTGGGGATGGGCACTCCCGGGTACTCTGCAGGGGCTACTGTACTTTCTGGTGAGGCTTTAGGGATGAGCACTCCATGCATACTCCTGTATGGGGAGTGGCGATACTCTGCGGCACGCTTTGAGGATGGGCACTCCAGGGATAGTCTACGGCGGGAGGGGGAGGAGTACAGGAAGGCCGGCGGATAGCGGCATCACCCCACAAAGGCTGCAGGAAAACAAGGACAAGAAGGAGGAGGAGGAGGAGGAGTGGAGGAGTCGCGAAGTGCCAGGAGCAGAGCAAGGGTAGGAGCATGCTGAGGACCATCCCCTAGCGCAAGTGACCTCCATGTGATGTACGGCTCGGGCAGTTGCAGTTGCACAAGCAAGCTCACGGGTTTGCTGCCGGCGCAAGCCACCAACTGACTCTAACTCTGACTCCTGATCAAGAAGTTCCATTGTCTTATTGGTTTTTCAACGGTAGCTGAGCTAGCCCTGGCCACGCCCCGTTTTAAGATCCCCCC